GCAAGGGAGAAATCCCAATCAATGAATCAGAAAAGGCTCTCTAGGTAGTTGATCAATGCGATTAGCGATGCAAACCCTAGGTATGGACGATGTTGCCCCTGGCAAAGATCTTTATGGACGTTCTTCCCAAGGCACACTTTGAAGTGAAAAATTTAGGGTTTTGTTACCTAGAATTTAAGGTTAAAACTAAACTTGTGATACCATGTACAAAGAGTATATTAGAAACTCCACACACTATCTATTCTAACAAACAATCGTATATTAGTAATACTCTAACACCTTCCTTTTTAAATTTTTGTTTCAGATAACTGTGATCCTCAAAATAGTTGCTTCCTGTTCTCCAGCAAAGGATGTCATCATACAAGAAGTTAATTTTAGCAATGCTTCCTGGGTCGTGCTGGATAGGTCCTGCACTTGCTTTGCTGCACTGAATAGAATGATGAGAGGTTTCACCACCACCATGTGGTTGTTGCTTAATTTTTATACTGAATCTGCAGGCTCTACAGGAGGGATGTGATGCAGTTTGAAAAGTATATATCCTGCAAGGTCGCGGTGTTCAATGAGGACATGTCTGTGCAGGCCGTGAGATCAATAAGGACACGACCCACGTACAAAAAGGAAGGCGTGAAGGTGCTTTCAACAATCGTGGCATTTGAGGTGGCCATCCCAAGACACTGAGCGTGGAACTGCAGCACACCGATCGAGCCGTCTCCTAGAGCTGAATGCCTGGATCCAACACCATCACGATGGCCACTTGCTTCTTGCTGTACGTTGAAATGATTCATCTATTGTCCAATGACTTCGGTCTGATACAGAACTTCATTTGCACAAGTTTTGATTATGTCCTGCGGCTCGTCTCAGTCTAAATAAGCAACGCGCCCCCCTTTCCTTATGGTGTTGTATTGTCCAATACAACTCTATTTAGTATATGTATCAAATCTCGGTTTTGTTGCTGCTCCTGCTGCATACAACTGCAAAAAATAGAGTAATCTGGGCACAAATTGGTGTACAGAGGGCACCGTGGGACATTATAGGATCGACGCCATAAACTTCCTGCAGTAAATTTCGAGTATTTTTTCATGAACGGCCACCGTTTATCGGTTTTCTTTAGAATTTTCGCCAACAAGCTTTTAAATAGGGATGCAGGTGGGTAGTCAATACAATTTTATGGATTCAGCTAGTTCAGTTTATTCCTCACTGAAATTAAATATATGCATCACACCATTTTAACTCATTTTAATTAACGAGTTCTGATCCAACCCAATGATTTAAATAAAACAAATAGAATTTGCATCTTTGGTTTTTAATTCTACTTGAGACACTCTCTCAGAGTTATATATATATGGCCAAATGGACCGCCCGAGATGGGCTGACACGAGCCTGGTAAAAGCACGAACTGATGAGGCTAGGCTAGGCACAACATGTTGGGCCATCGTGCCATGCCAAAAAGGGCTTCATGCCTAGACATCGGCTCTATCACGGCACACCAGGTTGATTTTCAGGCCAGGCTAGCTTGATAAGCATGGTCTATAGAGCAGGTCAGGCAACGCGAGACCTGTGTCACCATGCCGCCGATGCTTCTGTAGTGTAGCCCCACAAGCCCACTGTGAGGTAGCGTCGCCGCTCCGCGAAGGAGCGTCGAACAGGAAAGGAGTCGAGGGTCGACGTTTGGGACATCAGCGAGGGAGCATAGCTAGGAGGGAGGAGGCAGGAGCCGATAGAGACAGAGCGTGCACATAGCCAGGAGGGAGGAGGAGGCAGGAGCCGACAGAGACAGAGCGTGCACAGAGAGGTTGCGAGGGAGCAAGGAAGGAGGCAAGATGGCGGGTAGAAGCCACACGGAGGACTCGTCAGGGAAGGGAGTGGAGAGGCAGTGGATAGGATGGTGTTGCTACGGGTGACTCACGTGAGGGGAGGGGATCGGGAGGCGGCAATAGAAGCCGCGCAAAGGACTTGTGTGAGGGGACGGAGTAGTGGACTTCGGGTCAGTCAGGCCGCGGGCTGCATAGCCATCTTTAGAGTTATACCATGCGGTAGACATTTTTAATAGTTAATAGTTAATAGTTAGATGGTGATTCTTGTTCCTAATTTGTGTCAACCTTACAGACTATGCGAATTAGGTTGCAACCGGGTTACTTGTTGAGAAGTTGTGGACCTAAACAATAACCCTAGTTATTTGGAGAAAAACACTCGAGATAAATATCTTGTAACACAGGGCTTGCTCAGAAGTGATTGCGGCGGCAATATTGCGGCTATCATTAGCAGCAACAGTTGCACGTGCACTAATATAACCAAGCTACTACAGCAATCACAACCGAGCACAGCAACAACAACTACAACTTGTTGGTATATATTACCCAAAAATCTGATATCCTCATCTACCTCAATCATGATGTAATAACAACCTATCGTCTTCTACGTCCAAACAAAGTCCTAACTCGATCATCTCCATAACCATCACTCGACATGCTGCCTTTTTCCACTTCCCTCCAACACGAACATGGCATTCTATAGTGAGCTTCATGCCAACAACGCTGGCATGACATTCTAGTGACCTTTCATGGCATAAGGGCAGCTAAAAGTTATAGGCCATGTAGGCAACCATGACTTGAGGCCATCCATCTCCTACCATAGAGCATTGCTTTTGCGGAAAAGGTTAGCTTACAATGTACTATGAGTATTGACCCCAACGACCAATTTTCCTGGCTTCGCCCCTGGCTTACATCTTTTGTCAGCTCTTTTTACTGGCCTCTCTCAAATCGTGAAACCGCAGGATGAAGATTCTTTCAACTTCAACTATAACGCACGTTCAGCGAGAGCTTCGATGTTTTGTCATACTCTAACATCATGCAAAGCCTGATCCGAAGACTTCATGCGGACGTGGACGCTAGGGCCTAGGAATAGCCAACATGTCATAAACAATATAATACTACCTCCGTCCAAAAAAAAAATGCAATTGTGGGAACTGTGTCGATCAAACTAGCTCAACTTTGACCAAGTTTATAGTAAATAATATTAGTATTTATGGCTCTAAATAAATTTATTATAAAAATATATTTTATAACTAATCTAATGGTATTTATTTTGTATCATGAGTGTTATTAACTTTTGTATAATTTTAGTCAAAGTTTAAGCCATTTGACTCATCGAAATGTGGTAATTGCATTCCTCTGTGGACGGAGGGAGTATAAAATAAAGGAATTGTCAAAATTTAACTTGAAGACCGCATCATCTGAAACAACGGCTTACATAAATAGTCCATAGTTGTGCTGACTAGTACCTAATATTTAGTTGGTTGGTTAGCAAGGCACTAGCTCGCCAATTAGTTGGGATCTAAACAGGCATCAATATATAGCCTCGGTTTAATATATTATGCATCAAAGTTAGAGGAGAATAAAAAGCTAAACACATGGTAAAGGTGGATGCAGTTTCTATCCCTGATTTTAACAGACTTATGCCCGACTGTTTCCTTCATATGTATTGCATGTCACCCAAAATAACTGACATGTTCTATCGAAGATTGAAACAAATGATACGTTGTGCTACTCACTCGGTGAGAAAAGTACATGACGCTGTTCATTTTTTTCTCAGGTATACTATTATTACTTATTACTACTCCTTTATTTTAAATTATAAGACGTTTTGCCTTTTTTTTAGATACATATATTTGTTATGCACTTAGATATACACTATACCTAGATATATAATAAAAAAATACATTAAAAAAAAAGGAAACGTCTTATAATTTAGAACAAGTGGTGTACTATGGCACTACTATTAAGGAGAGTACAAGTCAGTCATTGGTTTATAAGGGAAAGAAAGGGTACAAAGACTTTGATTTTGAGTGAAAATCCTGTCGATTCTGCGCAACGTATTGTATTTGGACATAATTCAAGTGTGATCCAAAAATTTGGAAGTATTCAGTAGAGTTCTGCTCTGGATTTTTTGTTCTAGCTATATGATCTTCTAAAAGTGTAATCCTGATGGACAAGCATGGTGGAGAGTACTACCGCCGTCCTAACATTTTAGGGTTGGACTAAGTAAAATTTAAGTTTGATTAGATTATATTAAAAATATTATGAATATTTGTATCTTAAAATAGATTTATTATTAAAATATATTATATGGTTCATCTAATGATACTTATTACACATTTTAATATAGATCAGTATCTTGTTTATATGTTTTGTCAAACTTGATATTCGTATACTCTTTGAGAAGCAAGAGTGATATTTTTTTTGGATGGAGGTAATATATGAGAATTGATTTTGGAGCAATTTTTAGTAGCATTGGATGGAGAGCAATGCAGTTTTTTTTTTTACTTTCAGCTTTCAGTGTAAGAGGAGATACCCACCAAATTCTCTAGTTACCGTTTGACTGTTTAGTAGTGGATTCTCGAGAATTTGAAACGGGAAGTGCTTCAAGCAATCCTTGATAGATAGAGGACATTAATCTTGCCTTCGTGAAATTTCTGAGGATTTGATTTCCTTGTTTAATTGTTTTATTAGGCAATGGAGAGAAACCTGCATAAGATTAGCCGCTGATCCTCCTCCTGCTAGAAAGGGACAGCGCATTTGAGAACTGAGTCCCGCCGCTGTGCAAGCAAACTGTTTGCTGGTCCCTGCTTTCCTTCGGAGCGGAACAGCTCTCGGCTTTCTCGCTGCCCCCGCCGCCGCAACCGTCCACCCGCGCCGCGACAACCGCAAGCTCCCGCGATTCGCCGCCGCGCCACCGCCTCGATAACTCCATCATGTTGGTGCGAGCGGGGGATATATTCTCCGCCGGCGACCTCGAGGTGCCCCCCGCGCCTGCAGCAGGATCGAATGTACGCTGTAATCTCCCGAATATACTCGGCGGCGCGTAGGCGCCTCGAGGCCTTCATAACCGCGATTCCGGGCGGCCACGATGGCTGCGGCGGCAGCAAGAGGGGCTTGCATCGGCATCGGCATAGCAAGCGGCGGAGGTGGACCAGCCCCTTCAGGACCCCGCTGGGGTCGCCTATGTCGATGTCCTCCATCATCGGCGCCGGGGACGACCAGGCCACCCCCGCGTCGTCGGGGGCGACCTACGCCACCCCTAAGGGCGAGGACGCGACGCCGTCCGTGATGGCGTCGCCGCTGCCGCCGCCACAGCTGGTCGTGGTGGCGCTGGACGCCACGCGGGACCACCGGGATGACGAGATCAAAACGGCGTTCAGGAATTTGGTCGTCGAACGAGGAGACATACTCCGCGCGTGCGATTCGCTGCTCGTGCTCGGCGTGCTTCACTCCATCACCCATCCATGTGAGGATCATCTCTGGGATATCACACCTTTGATGTCTCTATTTTACGACTCAGCACACACAAATCTAGTCTTATCTTAGTTTACATTTGTGGATTTTCAAAATAGAATGTCATAGCAGTTTTGATGCTCAATTTGCCTCATCGTGTTCATTTTCCCTTTTAGAAGCTGTGCGTACGCTCATTGGCATATTGTTCATTTGGCTGTGGGGTGGGTGGGTTGTTATGTATTATAGTGGAACTGTAGGAAATTCTGTATTTGTAGTGAGATTGCAATCATGCATGTCTGGTGGATGATAGCATACTGTTGTTCATGGGTATGCGCTTCTGAGGCAGCACTGTAGCTTTCAGAATCATCAAAATATCTTATTATATAGTTTAAAATATATAAAAAATAGCATATATAATAAACATTTGAATAACTAAGTATATCACAAATCAATAAAACTATAAATAATATTTATCAATGAATAATTTAAAATATACAAAAATAATTTTACCAATATATGGATAATTAAATTAAAGTACATAAAATTAATACGTATGTTAGCCATATTAAAACTAACATTTATATATTACTATTATTAATATTATTATATAATGTTATTAGTCACAGAGATAAGTTTTAAATAGTTTAAACGATGCATAGTTTTTGTTATATTAAAGTTGATATTATTTACATTACTAATTAGTCATAGATATAAGTTTTAGATGACTTTATAGGGTACTTTGTTATTTGCGGATACGGATAATGTCAGGTATTTGACATTTTTTGAAATACGAATGTGGAATCGGATAGAGAAAAAATTATAGAAAACATATACGGATGCATCCACTTAGTATTCGGATTAAAATCGAATACGAATATCCATATTGACGCTAAGACAAATACGGATACCGGATCTGCGACGTAGCATGGGCCTAGTTCATGTATGTAGATGATTTTGAGAGTTTAGGAACCTAGATGACACAATTTGCCAAGTTTAGGGTCGATGCCAAGTTTAGGGTCTGATCTGGCATCGTTGGTGCCAACGTGAACCGCCACGCCCACAACAGCAAACAGGTCTAGTCTAGGCCCGTTTGGACATGTGACGTACCATGTGCCAAGTTCAAGGACCTCGATGTGCATTTTAGGAATTTGAGGACCTGGATGACTCTCTTCCAAGTTTAGGGGCCGCTAGTGCATTTTACTCCTATCAAGAGGTAATAGTTATATCGATTGTTGTATTGGCTCAAAATGTATGGTCCATATTACCTTGGAGTACCTTAGAAAAATGCAATTCTGATATCTATGATGCATTTCTGAATGTATAGTTTCATATGGTCATTGCTAGCATCACCATTTCCTATTTCTACCGTAGAATCCTAGTATTTTGAATGTGCACCGGTGTGATAGCCTTTCTGCTTTTCTAGTATTGGTGTGATCTAACATGGAATTTTAATGATAGAATATTTGTCAAATACTATATCCAAGTGTGTCCTTCATGATATATAGTTATGTACATTTGTTTACAACAAATAAAATCTATAGTTTGAGTTTGCAGCGGTAAGGTCATAATATTGGCCAACGTTCTCTTTGAAAACTACACCAAAATTATTATTTGCTGGATATGTAATGCTTTTGGTTCTTCTGTTTGTGTTCAGTGGGCTACCAAACCAAACCGTTTACTGAATCTTTTGTCGGGACAAGCGACCGATACCTAGTTGATCAGGTTTCAAACATAGCTGAATCCTACAAAAATAAGCTCCTACAAGTTATAGAGATGCTCCACAATGTTAAGGTAAAATGCCTTCATCTGTCTATTCTATACGGACATGTTATATTCTTCCGTAGAAAATGTAAGCATGCCCTATCTTTATCCCTACTTTCCATGCAATCACTTTTATATCATCAGAAATCTGGATAACAAGGTGATTTACTAGTTACATTATTAATCTTGAAATACTTGTTACATTCTGACACTTCAAAATTTTATCAGATTACTGTGACCCTCAAGATAATCCCGGGAGCACCTGCAAAGGTTTTCATTATCCATGAAGTAAATTCCAGCAAAGCTTCTTGGATTGTCCTAGATAGGTTTGTACATCATTTCTTGTTCAAACGTCTATGATAGACTAACCCTGAACGGAAGTTCAGTGCCCATATTCTTCTGGGTACTTGAGGTAATATTGAATTTAGAATTTTTTTTTCAGGCACTTCAGGAGAGATTTCAAGCACTTAGAAAAGCACATAGCTTGCAAAGTTGCGACATTTCAGGATGACTTAAAAGTGCAATCCTTGAGGTCAATACGAACAAACCCATCAAACAAAAGCACAGCTGAATTGAAGGACGTGCAACGTTTTGCGGTCACGATGGATCTGAGTTCTGAGACAGTAAATGATGACACTCGCAAGGTATCAATCAGGTCATCGCCTGTAAGCTACCTTGCCTCTCTATACAACCACGAGATCCACGAGACCTCCAGTGTGGCTGCATGCAGTATGCCATACTTCAGTGGCATGTCTCTCACAATTGACGATACTGAATCCCTGTCTAATGGTGAGATAATTTTTCTTCACTAAACCGTAATAAAAAAAGCAGGCAGTGCAGACGACAGAAGACAGAAAACTACTGGTAGTCCTTGTAATCGTGATAGCTAATTCATGTAGAACTCACGATTTATTTAATATTTTCTAAAAACTAAAAAGAACAACTGTGATTTGCTGGCTGCTACCATTTATTTGATGTTACAGGGCTACTTATATTATATTATATCATACACAGTAATACCATGCGTGGTCTTGTGATCCTTTTCCAGGAAAATACGAAGATAAAATGAGCTCCCAATATGATTCATCAGAAAGGCCAATTTTGTGCATTGGCTGTGGTCTAAAATCAGTTCTGTACATAAAGGAATCCATGAAATTCCCATTCTCGGAGATTCAAACTGCAACATCTGACTTCTCAAGTGAAAATTTGCTGGGTGAGGGTGGATTTGGGCATGTGTACAAGGGCCAGCTCAAGGATGGTCAGGTCATTGCAGCTAAGCTGCACAAAGAAGCTAGCTCACAGGGTTATACTGAATTCTTCTCGGAAGTGCAAGTTCTTAGTTTTGCTCGGCACCGAAATATCGTCATGCTGCTTGGGTACTGCTGCAAAGAAAGCTATAACATCTTGGTGTATGAGTACATATGCAACAATTCCCTCGAGTGGCATTTATTTGGTAGGTGGTCAGCTGATATGCTTAAAACTTTAAAAGAATAATAATGTGATGACGACAGGCTTACTTTACTCTTGTTACTTGGTGGAAACAGACAAGTCGGCATGCTTATTAGAGTGGCACAAGAGGCATGCTATTGCTATTGGTATAGCAAAAGGGCTGCGGTTTCTACACGAGGAGTGCCGTGCTGGTCCAATCATTCATCGCGATTTGCGCCCAAGCAATGTATTGTTGACACATGACTTTGTTCCTATGGTAAGATGGAGTAAGTAGTTATCGATACATGTCGGGATGCAAAAGTATTCTGCATTCTGATTACAGAAGTGCTATCTTTCACAGCTTGGTGACTTTGGTCTTGCAAAATGGAAGGCTGGCGATGATAACATCCAAACAAGGATTCTGGGTCAAACAGGGTCTGGATAAACTCTAATTCTGGCAGAGCTATCAACTAGTTCTTCCCTTCTATGTTATCCTTCTTTTTCTGATAATGTGAGTGATTTCGTGTCATGTTCATCAGATGCTTGGCGCCCGAGTATGCTCAATATGGCATGGTTTCTGTCAGAACAGATGTCTACGCCTTTGGAATTGTTCTTTTCCAGCTGATATCTGGTCGAAAGGTGCTTGATGAACATGGAGGACAGTGCACACATATATTGCAATGGGTATTATTCTGGGTGAATTCTGCTTATACTTCTGTCTATATACTTACAGTACATCTGCACAATCCAATTTCCAACACCTCTAAAAATTTCAGGCAGAGCCATTGGTTGAAAGCCTTGCACTTCACGAACTAATTGATGATCGCATTAAAGACACATATGATGCATATGGATTGTATCATCTAGCCAAAACTGCATATCTTTGTGTCAGGCCAAACCCAGAGCAGCGGCCTTCTATGGGAGAGGTTAGTTTAGAAAATTGTTCTATTTCCCTGATATTATTGTGAAATCTCGGTTGGTGGTATTAGCTTAGAATGTTATGACAAGTTCACTTTGTCTCTGGGCAAGCAGGTTGTTCGCCTTATTGAGATAGAAAATGAACACATCAGGGATTTGTCACGACAATTCATCCCACATTTCATGAAGTGACGAAATAATCGAAGAGGATTTTGTGGTGTGGACTGACTACTAAAGTATCTGCACTGCATTGCCACGCGGACAAAGTAATCTGAAATCCATATTCTCCATTCTCGTTGGTGACACTGTAACACTTCGCGGCTCACTCTGTTTTGCCTCTCTTCGCTTTCTTCTTCCAACCATATAACAGTGTGTACATGGGGAATTACTGTTCCCCTTTTTTCTCCTTTTTATTATCTCTGTAAATGAAACGCCATCTTATCAGAGTGTTGCCGTTGGTGTCTCCTGGCCTTTCAGCCTTTTTTCTAGCGTGCAATGTCACTGTGTAACTGGCTAGCTGTTGAAGAATTGGGACGGACGCAAAAATGGAGCTGGGTTTTTGTTAGCAGTAGGCAAGGGTAGAAGAATTGGGGAAGGGGAAATCGGACGAACAGCAAAGCAATAGGCAGAGGAACAGATACGGGAGGAGGAGTGCTTAGCGAGTATAAGAGTTAGGTTTACAATTTTCTGATGATCCTCACTCTCTTTCTCTCACCTCTTATAAGGGATACATGGGCTGCTGCCCCACCGTGCACGCAGGCGCGCTCACACCCACTCGCTACCGGCTTAGCCCACGTTGGGCCTCCGAGTACGTGAGCCCGCTCTTGGCCCATGGTCGTCTTCAGCTTCTTCACTTGTAGTGGGCTGGATGATAACATTCCCCGGGGCTTGAGAACCTGCTTGTCCCCGAGCAGGGGCACGGGGGTAGGCTTGACGAAGATGAGTAGCATTCTCCCAGGCTGCCATCTCACGATCCCAGCCAGACCAGCGGATCAACACTTGTTCCACAGAACCAGCGGCAGTAGGAACGATGCGTTGCTTCAGAATTTCCACTGGCACACGAGGTAACTCGATATCAGTCGGGAATGAGGGCAGAACTGGAGTACCTGGAAGGATGGCAGCCTTGAGTTGAGACACATGAAATACGGGATGAACTGATAATGACGGCGGAAGCTGCAATTTGTATGAAACAGAGCCAATTCGAGCCAACACTTCAAACGGTCCATAGAATTTGAACGATAACTTCTGGTTGGCATGAGGAGCCAGAGATGTTTGAACATACGGTTGGATCTTCACAAAAACCTTCCCCAACTTGGAACGACCTCTCGGATCGGTTCTTGTCAGCCTAACGCTTCATGCGCTCCTTAGCACGAGCCACATGTTGCTTGATCAATTCACTGATGACTTGACGGTTTCTGAAGCCATGTAGAGAGTTCTGGCACCGCCACATCGTCGAACACAGAAATCCCAAAATGACGTGGAGGATAACCATATAAAAGCTTCGAAAGGAGAGAACCCAGTAGCGGAATGGGTAGAAGCATTGTACCAAAATTCAGCGAGGGCAATCCAGGATGACCATTTGGCCGGGTAGGCGTTGTCGAAGCAACGAAGAAAGGTTTCCATAGATTGGTTGAGGCGCTCGGTTTGTCCATCTGACTGAGGGTGGTAGCTTGAGCTCATCTGAAGGGAAACATCAGCAAGACGAAACAATTCCTTCCAGAAAAGACTTGTAAAGACTCGATCACGGTATGAGATAATGACTGTCGGTAATCCATGTAGCCGATAAACATTGTTCAGGAAAACCTTAGCTACAGCAGCAGCGGTAAATGGATGGAGCAAAGTGAGGAAGTGGGCATACTTAGTGAAAGAATCCACCACCACCAAGATACAATTGACGTTGCCTGAACGTGGCAGACCCTCCATGAAGTCTAGCGAGACAATCTGTCAGGCCGCCTCCGGCATGGGTAACGGCTAGGGATGAAAACGGTCGAAAAAAAAAACCCTCAACCGTTTTCTACATTTACATTTGAATGCGAAAACGAAAACGAAAACGAAAACGATAAAGCCGGACACGAAAACGAACACGAACTTACGGAATATCGAAAACGAACCAATTCGAGCAGAATTATATCGAACACGGTCGTTATACGAAAATTCAATATGGAATACCGACGCGTAGAGTCCATAACAATTAACAAGTACATGACCCAAGCACATAACAATTACCAAGTGCATGATCAAATTCAAGCGCATATAATAATTAACAAGTGCATGACCCTTGGTCTTAAGTATTAACACAATAGCTGACAGCCTGACACACAAATACAAGTCTACAACAAGTAATTAACACTAACAGATAACAAAACATCTATAGTTCATCAGCATCATCCATGAGGTCAGGATCACTTTCCATGTCTTTTGCTTCCTCATTGTCCTCATCCTCCTCCTTGTCCTTTTCCTACAAGTTTACAAAGTGAATTCAAATTAGATGTAGCAAGTAGTCAATAAACATACCTCAATTTTCAGTTTAGCCACAACATTAGCCAAAGCCTCAACCTCAAGATCACTCACAATTGATCCAACCATTTTAGAATCTAAACAAAAAATGAGAAAGGAAAATAATCAATGCATTATTCTACTGCAATTATAAGTGTGTCTAACTAAAAAACCAGATAAAATGAGCACCTTTTCTTGCTGCAGCAACCCAATCCTTTGTGCAAATTAATGCCTGTACCATCTCAAGATCAAGACGACTACGATAGGGACACGACCAACAACACTAAAAGCAGACTCGGATGCTGCTGTCGATACCTATATGGCCATTATATCCCGAACAATTTGCAAAAGGATAGGATATTGTTCTCTCTTGTTTTTCCATCATGCTAAGATGTCAAACTCACCAACAATTTTCAGAAGTGGTTCTACAATATACCTCTCCAACTCATTTGACTCAACCATAGCAGGTTCACTTGCATCATATAAGAATTCTTCTAGGTCATGGTCTATATTTCCCATTAATATATCAGCTATGTTACTAGGTCCACGTGCAGCCCCTTTACTATTTTTCTTTGATGATGCAGGAGCAGAATTAACATAAAAGTTGTACAGTTTTTTTACCACAGTAACAAACTCATCAAGTTCAACTTGATAATGATCACCATAGAACTTCTTCATGTAGTACTCTATCAGCCTTTTCTTATACCTAGGATCAAGAAAACGGGCTACAGCTAGAGCAATGTTGGACTGCTGCTAATATTTGTCAAATTTTTCATTTATAGCAATTGACATATCTCTAATAGTAGCATCTCCACTACAGCCCCAGTCGTCAAGCAAAAGCTTTATATCACAGAAACCTCTATAAAATAAGTTTGCAGTAGGATATGAAGTGCCAGATAGAATTTCAGTGAGATCATAAAATTTCTTCAAGCAACCATAAATTGTCAATGCATTGTCCCATTCAGCAGAAGATGGAGAAATCTTGGCATACCTACGGTGATTTGAAGACTTCAGCCTAATAAATGCATCCTTGTAGTACAAGGCATCTCTCAGCATTAGGTAGGTAGAATTCCACCTGGTTGAAACATCCATCAAGATACCCCTCTTTGTATTCAACCCAGCTTCGGTGGCACGCATCATAAGCTCTTCCCACTGCAATGGAGACCCGTTCACAGCTAGTACAAGTGATTTGACCTTGCTGATTGTTCCTGAAATGACTTTCAACCCATCTCAAATTGAGAATATGGCGGGCACATCGAACATGAAAAAACATCCCATCACAAACTAGGGAACTATTAGCATTCTCTTTCAGATCTGAAATTATATCGTTGACAGCCACTTCATTTGAACTAGCATTATCCAAAGTCAAAGCAAACAGTCTATTTCCAATGTACCATTTAACCATAAGTTCAGTGAATGACTCAGACAACTTTGCACCAGTATGCCTTCCTTTTACATTGAAGAAACAAATAATTCTCTTTTGCATACGCCAATTATCATCTATCCAATGAATAGTAACACACATGTATCCTTTATTTTGGCATGAGGTCCACATATCCATTGTTGCACTAAAGCGACACTTGATAGTTTTAAGTGTGCATACAAAGTTTCCTTTTTTTCAAGATATTTATCAATTATTTCTTTCCTAACAGTGACACGGGACTTTATTGGAAAGCTAGGATGGAGAGATTTTATGAAATCAACAAGATATTCATGCTCAACTATATTGAAAGGATATTCATGCATGATTATTGCCAAATTCAATTTCTTCAAGCTAGCTTCTTGGTCATATTTGAAAGGCTGAACATGAGCATTTTCACTACCAGGGTTCTTACCAACTTTAAGTTGTTGTTGTCCCTCCACAATACTGTGCTTTGACTTCAAATGGTTCTTGAATGCAGTCGTCCCACATACGCCCTCAGCTCTGTATCTCTGATTGCAGTTAGCGAAATTGCAGTATCCCCACAGCTACTCAAATTGCTTTCCCTCCACCTCTGAAACCTCCTTTTTCTTGGTGAAATACTTCCAAACAGACAATGTACATTTCTTGAACCTCTTGCCAGAAAGGTGAGCCTGCTCATCATCATCATCATCGACATTAATTGGAGTTGTGGTCGCTGGAGTTGTGGTTGTTGCTGGTGCGCCAGCGCCACTACCACTGCAACTGGTGTCAACATTTGGAGCAGAAGAACCCATCACTGATGCTGCTACTGATACTGCTGTAGCTAGACTTTCACAAGTTCCACTAGAGCTAATACTTTGAGATGAAGGCCTTTTACTCCTTGATCCTGCCAAGAGCCAAGTGAAACATTGCTAAATCAATGCATGTTGGTCCCAAATAATCAAGCAAAAGGTCCCAAATAGCCAAGCTTCATCAATAGCAAAAGCAATAATCAAGCAATCGGTCCCAAATTAGTACCTGCAGCTGGAGAAGCCGTTGCTGCTAGTGACGATGCCGCTGTCGATGCTGCCGGCGGCGCTAGAAGGTGGCACACGCTCTTGGTCTTGATCTTGCCTTTGCCCCTCGATCCAGGAGCAAAACCACCTTCTCCAGTGGGGCCATCGATGGGCGGGGTGGCGGCGCTGCCTCGTGGCTGGGTGGCGGCCGGCGGCTCTGGCGAGGTGGGGAACTGGGGATTGGGGACGCTGGTGGCTGGCGGGGTTGGATGGAGGCGCGGCCTCGTGGCTGGGTGTCGGCCAGCGGCTCTGGCGGGGTGGGGAACTGGGGAGTGGGGAGTGGGGACGCTGGCGGCCGGCGGGGTTGGATGGAGGCGTGGCCGGCAGGGTTGGATGGAGGCACGACCGGCGTGGAGGCTGGAGTCGGAGTCGCCGCTAGGGGCGCCGCCAGGGAGGGAGCGACGGACAGGGAGGAGACAGGCACGGTCTCACGGTCACGGGACTACGGGAGTCTCCAGTCTTCACTTAGGGTTGTCAAACTTGTTATTGGGCTGGACGCCTGGGCCCAAGAAGAAGGGAAGCTTTGAAGATCGCTATTGCCTGTTGGCTGCTGCCGTTTACGTTTAGTACCACCTCGCGAGGTGATGCCTTGACGAGGCTAGGCGCCGCCTATTTGAGAGGGTAGCTGGCCACTGAACCACACACCGTAGTGGACTAAATTCGGATTAAACCGAATTCGAATTCGGGATATTCTGAATTAAAAGTAGAAAAGTAGAAATCGGTCGGAAAAAGTCCAAACCGATTTTCGTTCCGATTTCGAATTTGGTGTTCCATATTTCGAACCGAATTCGAATTTGTCCGAAAATATGAATTCGATCAGGTCAAATGTAGAAAACAAATGTAGAAAACGATGCGGCTCGGTTCGGGATATTTTTATACCCTTTTCATCCATAGTAACGGCTGCAGAAGCCCCGGCAGCTTGGTGCGGTCTGGCTTAGCCTGTTGGCATGTGATGCAGGAACTGACGAAGGCACGTACAGCTGGCTTCATACCGCGCCAAGAAAACATTTGCTTCAGGCGCGTGTAGGTCACCGGAAAGCCGGAATGGCCTCCCAGCGCACTTGAATGAACTGCCTATAAGATCCTGAGTTGGAGGGTGTTGTCACCAATCCAGATGCGGGAACCATGCCTGAGGACTCCATCTCATAATGAAAACCTAGCAACGGCTGTGGGATCAATGCAAAGCTTAGCAATCATATATGTGGATGCCGGATCCAGAGCATAGCCTGCTATCACCTCCTGTATCCATTGCGGAGTGATCACTGAGACTGCTGCACAGACGGAGTCATGCACTGATTTGCGTGACAATGCATCAGCAACTATATTTGAGGACCCCGGCTTGTATATAATCTTGAATTGAAGGCCAACCAATTTGGAGAATAGCTTCTGTTGCCATGACGTGTGGAGACGCTGGTCGGTTAACTGCGCTAGGCTTTGCTGATCAGTATAAATAGTAAATTCAGGTAGCTGAAGATAAGAGCGCCACTGTTGAACTGCCATCAAGACGGCCATATACTCCTTTTCATATGTGCTCAAGCCACTGCTACCGGGACCCAAGGCTTTGCTAAGGAACGCCAGTGGGTGGCCATCCTGCGTGAGTACGGTGCCAATTCCAGTAGCACTTGCATCCGTTTCAATACTGAAAGGCTTAGCAAAGTCCGGCAAGGCAAGCACAGGTGAAGTACTGAGAGCATGCTTCAGAGCCTGAAAGGACTGTTCATGTATCGGAGTCCATCTGAATATAGAATTCTTGCGGAGGAGCTCAGTAAGCGGCTTGGCCAGAACCCCAAAATGCCGCACAAACTTGCAGTAGTAGCCTGCTAATCCCAAAAACCCTCGGAGCTCCTTGACAGTAGTTGGTGCGGGCCAATTCACGACAGCAGATACTTTGTCAGGGTCTGTTTGTACACCAGCACCAGTAATGACGTGGCCGAGATAAGAAATACTTGGCTTAGCGAATTCACACTTAGAGAGCTTGATTTTCCAGTCATGAGCTTGCAGTTGGTGGAATACTTGCTCTAAGTGGTGGATGTGTTCTTCATAGGAGCGACTATAAATCAAAATGTCGTCGAACAACACCAATACAAATTTCTGTAAGAACGGTGCCAAAGTACAGTTCATAGCATCTTGGAATGTTCCCGGTGCCCTCGTGAGACAGAATGGCATCACCTGAAACTCAAAATGGCCAAAGTGAGTTTGGAAAGCTGTTTTAAATTCTTCCCCTGGTTTCAGCAGGATTTGGTGGAACCCAGAACGCAAATCCAGCTTGGAGAACCATGTAGCACCGCCGAGCTCATCCAGGAGTTCATCTATGATTGGAACAGGATACTTGCCTTTCATGGTAATGGCGTTGAGTTGGCAGTAATCAATACAAAAGCGCCATGTCTTGTCTTTTTTCTTGACCAACAAGACTGTGGAAGAGAAGGGGCTTGAGCTTTTCTGAATGATGTCTGACTGTAACATCTCTCGAACCTGTCTCTCCACTTCATCTTTGATTGTGGGAGAGAACCGATATGGCCGAGAATACACTGGAGTAGCACCCGGTATCAATGGGATGGAGTGGTCACAGTTCCGAGAAGGCGGCAGCTGACTTGGCGGTTCAAATAGTGTAGAGTAGTGTTGTACTAACTGCTGAATCTCTGGAGGCCAAGCGGACTGATCTTCTGTTGGTGTCTGATCTGTGGCACACACCTGTAAAACAGCACCAGTCGGTAAATCATGTAAGATAGTAAGATACCCACCAGCTGAACTAACTGTCCCTTGTGATTGAGCTGAATCCATTTTTGCTCCCAATGAATCTCCATTGGACTGTTGTCTTCCAACTAGTCCAGGCCAAGCATCATATCATATGCAGACAGTAGCAAGATCTTAAGGTTAGAACTGAACTGACAATTCTAAATGGACCATACTGCATCAGGTATGTGAGTGTGAGAATCTGGCCATTAGCCACCTAACTTTCAATTCAGGAGAGAGGCCCTGGACTGAAGACAATCGAACAGCCAACTCTGTGCTAATGAATGTGTGCGAGCTCCCTGAATCCAGAAGTATACGAACTTGTTGATCACCCAACTGACCCCAGAAGCACATGGTACGGGGGACAACCACTCCAGTGACAGCCGCGACTGAAAGCGACATGAACAACTGATCCTGAGCAGGTTCAGAAATAACAGCTTCTTCTTCTGAATGATCTTCTACTTGAAGGACGTCAAGTAACTCTTGTACAACACGAAGTTGCACAGCTTGTGGGCATTGGTGATCACGCGACCATTTACACCCACACCTCATGCAGAGGCCTTGTGCACGTCTGGTAGCGTGCAGCGCTGCCCAGCGATCTTCAATTGTTGAACCACGCACAGCCTCAGCCGCTGGCTTGGGATCAGGGGCTGGCAGGGCGAGGCGTGGCGGAGGAGGAGGAGGGGTAGCGCCTTGGGAGCATACGGCCGAGCACCCAATCGATTCTCTCATCTCCTCAGTTCCGGTTCGTAACACGCCCTAAACAAATTACTAAATCATATCATGAAGCATCATATTTATGTGATAATAAATGTGATGGAATATGTAAATATTTTTGTGACTTAAGATAATCAATAAAAATATTAAATGAGAAGATATTCCATAACTCATATGTATCGAGTAGGGTTTAAAACTAATTTTTATTGAACAAAAAATACTATAGAACATATATGTAGCACTTAAATAAAGTTTGGAATATGAACTTTGTAGATGATAATGAAATACTTGCCGTGGGAAAATAACATTGCTAGCCAACATTTCTAATAGCCCAGAAATACAACTTGGAATCAAGTTGAGCTCAAAGACTTAGAATATTTTCAAGTTTATGAACAGCAAGACAATGCAATGTTTGACGATTTATTTTGTGAAATCGAGTTATGAGGTGGTGTCCTATTTTAACTCGAGTTGGTAGTCTCACATGCCATCTTGAGCATGGTGAAAATGGTTTGGTTCCTAAAGCAACCGTTTAGTTGTTATGGGCGCTTTAAAATACGTGCACGACACGTTCTCGGGCTGGCTCGCCGGGTGGACGCGGTCACCAACCCGGGCACTCGGCGTCACCGCGCTGGTCGCACGTGGCCGGCCGTGGCTGCCTCTGGCTTGGCTGTGGCCCAGCCACCGCTGGCCCCGCCGTGCGGAGCTGCTGCTGCCGCCTGCCCCGCCCCGCAACGCGACGAAGCCACTGCTGGTGCCATCATCTCGTCATCGCGTCCGCGCACTGCTACCCTCCCTCGCGTTGCCACTACCGACGCCACCGCGACGCCGTGCTGCGCTGCTGCCGCTCGCTCTGCCACCGCGGGCACGTGGGTTGTCCTGGCTGCACTCGTGTCGTCGCCTCGCCTTAATGGCGCTGCGGCCGCGCAGGTCGTGCCCCCACTTGTCTCTTCGCGCGTGCACGTGGTCTGGTCGCGTGTCTTGTAGCAAGTGCGCAGGCACGGTCGCAAGTCCAGCCGACCGCTAGCTGCCAAGGTGAGAACGGGCAAAGCTCGGACCCGTCCCTCTTTCCCTTTGGTGTCGTCGTCAGAGCCGCGCCTGCACGTTAGACAGCGAGAGGTCATCTCCAATCAATTCCGCCCGTCTACGGCCCCGCTAGTGAGTTCTCCAGCTGCCCAACCCCACCCAACCATGAAACACGCACTGCCAAGCTCCAATTTGGAGCTTTCCCCACCATCGGGCCGATAAGGCCGTAATCGGCAGGTGCCGATGGCAGCCCTTCTACCGCCACCCCGAACCAATTTACCTGCACTACTAGCTTCGCCTTGCCTCTCTCTCCACCTTACGCACGCCAGAGAAACCGCTACCGCCTCTCCGTCGCCCCTGATGCGACCGTGCCACCGTGGTGCGTCGCCGCACGGCTCGGCCGCACGTGGCCACCCCTCCTCCGCCATCCTTCACCCCAACTATCATCTCGTCCTGGTCCACGGTAGTCTCCTAATGCTCACTCACTAGTCAATTAGGTCCGTAGCAATCCCAGCTCACCGGAGCGGGTGTGCCGCCGTTGCGGACGGTCGTGCGTCGCTGCAGCTCGCTGCAGCGCATCCCGCCACCCCACGTTGCTACTTGGTGTAGGCGGTTGGACTGTAGTTGAAGGTTGGCCTGACCGATGGGCCAGCGCAAGCCTCTAGTGGTTGGCACGGCCGCGCTGTGTCACCACCTCCTCCTAACTCGATTTCACAAAATAAATCGCCAAATATTACATTGTCTTGTTGTTTATAAACTTGAAAATATTCTAACTTTTTGAGCTGCACTTGATTCCAAGTTGCATTTCTAGGCTATTAGAAATGTTGGCTAGCAATATTATTTTTCCACGGCAAGTATTTCTTTATCATCTACACGTGGCCACCCCTCCTCCGCCATCCTCCACCCCAACCGTCACCTCATCCTGGTCCACGATAGTCTCCTGATGCTCACTCGCTAAGCCAATTAGGTCCGTAGCAGCCCTAGCTCACCAGAGTAGGTGCGCTACCGCCGTAGATGGTCGTGCGTCACTGCAGCTTGCTCCAGCGCGTCCCGTCGCCCCGCGTTGCTGCTTGGTGTAGGCGGTTGGACCGTAGTTGAAGGTCGGCCCGACCGACAGGCCACGAGCCTCTTGTGGCCGGCGTGGTCACGCAATGTCACCGCCCGCCACGCCACCGTACGCTGAGTCGCTGGGGGTGTGTGCAGGTGAATTAGGGAAAGGTCGGGGGTTAAGTGAGAAGGCCTATGAGAAGAGAAAATAGTGTTATTACTTAGTTTTGATTTGAAAGAAGTTCGAGACCTCTTTTGCATAAAGCGCCAACACGTGGACGCCTCACGCGTGGGCCGCGGAAGCGGGCCGCTACGCGCACTGTCACGTGGGCCGCGCGTGTGGGCCACGCGAGAGATTCACTTTTCATTTTCCTAAGGAATTAGAAATAATTTTCTAATTTAATTTCTGAGCTGAGCTTTGGTAATTAATATAAAATCATGTAGGTGTCCAAAAAGTTGTGAAACAAATTTTGTTAGGTTCCTAAAATTGAGATCTATCTGTTGGTATATTTAGTTCATGTTTATATGTGTTGACACTAGGAGCTATTAAATAGTATGAGAATGCTTAATATTATTAAGTTGATGATTGTAGAAATTTTTGTGGTAAATTGGTGATAGTTTTGATCCTGAAATTTTTACAACAGTTTCATTGTATTATTATGTGTTCACCGTAATTTTTGTAGCTTTAGAATAGACTAAGCATTAAGATAGTTAAATGCTCTTTGTTTT